CCCCAGGGGGCATGCAAGACAAGCCATTTGGGTGCAAGGAAGTATTTTTTGTACCATTAATAAACAAAATTTTGAAGAACATAAAAATAGTGTTTATTTCATCTTTATCTTGTACTTTTCCAATTTCTACTCTTGTGTATGTACATAATATATTAGGATGGTAGTACATATATAATTTATAAATAAATATACATATATTGGTGCACACAAAGTTTTTACTGATAGGGGTGTGCAATCAAAAAAGTCTCAAGGATGCTGTATGATCCTACAGCTGCCAGCCCAATCACACATCCTGTTGCTGAATAAATTTTTTAATGTCAAGCTGAAATACTCACCTCAGTAGCCTGTTTTCAATATGCTTATTGAGAGGTTTTTTTGCCTCAAGCATGCTGATATAATGGAAATTTTAGAAGGATTAGGTTTGGATAACAAAGCATTGTTGACAGAGTATCCTTCGGTGGAATTAACACTAGAGTTACAACTTGATAGTAGATACCTGTGCAATTATCATTAAAACATACGCAACTTCTCAATCAGATTAGAGCCATCCTTTCCTTTTTGCAGTTTGGTAGTCTCATTTTAGTCTTGCATCAGCACTTCTCCACTGCCCCCCTGCCCCTGCTCCCCACGCACCGACTCCATGTGCAACCACGGGACCTCTGCGAGATGCTTGCCACAGGTGCCGGTCTCTTGTCAGTGCTGCAAGAGCTCCCCGAGTTACCTGCCCTGGGGCTCCAGGTGTCACTGAGGGGGCTGAGGACTGCACCCCCCTTGAGCTAGCACCTGAACAGTGGGGCTGGCTGGGACACCTCAGACTCCTCTTGCGGCACTCGCTGCAGAGACACATGCTGGGGCAGCACCCCAGGGTGGCTGCATCTGGCCACCTGCAGATGCAGATGATGGTGAAGGTCCCAAATGGCCACCCAGCAAGGCACAGTTCACAGGCAGCAGCTGCTCTTCCCAGTTAGTGTCTGGGGAAGCCAGCAGGCAAGTATCTCAGCATTTCAGGGCATGTGGTAGCATGCTGTTTACCAAGGCAGTGGTGGCAGGTTGTGCATTTTGACGTGCCTATTCCAGCACTTTTACAACCAATTCCTAAAAATATTACCCGCACTGGCAAAAAAAAGGAACAAGAAATGTATATCCTGAATCCACATACATAGACTTAGAAAAAAAATACTTCTGTTTTAAATAAGAAAGCAGCATGTTGTATTTAAAAACATTCATCTCTGCTTCACTCTGGCTAGTCTTAAGTTTGTTTACTTTCCCTTTGCTCTGGATACTTTCATTCAAGCAAAAGCAAGACTCACAGTGAATGGGGGGGATGCACGTGCATTTAAAAAAATAAAAAGCATGTGTGGTAAGTCAATGCTATATCACACGTCGCAGACAGCATACTGATCACAGCCAGAGCTCAACTCACAGGCCAAGTCTCTTCAACCCACTTGCTGAAACAGGGATACTCGCTAGTTCTTAAGTCCACACAGAACACAGTGTTGTACACAAGCCAAACACCCTCACACAATTTACGGTTCTCAACTGTTACATTTGACCTAAGACCTATGTGATTTAAAAGCATATTACTCATAGCTATGAATTCAGATTGAGGTAGACCTACGATGACTGGCTGTAGGGAACATGGAAGTTTTTAAGATCGTCTATTCTGATCTCTTGTTTAAATCACAGATCATTTGCTCATGCATTGAAAAAGTCCAATAATTTACATTTGATTACAGCCTACTGAGGATATCAAATGCTACAACCCATTACATCCCATAGTAGGTTGTTAACCAGGGAATCACCCTTGTGTTAGAAACTGAGCACATTTCTTTGGATCACAAGTCTTCCTAGCTTCCACTTTCCATCACTTCACAATTTTTATGCCTCACTCCCTTAAATCGGAGACCAACACCACCCAAAATTGAGCAGTCAACCTTTGTTGTTGTTATGTTGTAGTTTAGCATTCCCATCGTTTACGCTTTAATCTTTGAGCCTTGACACATTTCCAGTTCTGTTTTTAACACAGGAAGTCCAACAGAAGATCAAAACTCGAGGAAAAGGACTAGAAGGGACCTCTGGTTTATCAAGTCTAGTTGCCTAATATTCAGACATCACTTTGCATTTAATTTCTTTCATAGATATACTTGGCTCTTCCTTCAAAGCAAGTCTCTGCCTGGAAGGCTGTTCCAGAATTAGTTCCAGTAATTACAAACTTGGTTTCTAATCTAGATCTTATTTACAGAAAGTTTATACCCACTTGCTTTTGTTCTAACACTCCTTTAGCTCACAGTGCTTCTGCTCTTCGCCTGTCATTTGTACAAGAAAAAAAAAAAGTAATATTCTGACTCCATAAACACAACCTCACTGCTACAGATAAAAAAAAGGCTTACCCATGAAATGAAACTTCCAGAGCATACAGAAGATAAAAGAATCAACTTTCCAGAGTAGGTAACAGTGAGGAAAAAAAAAAGGAAGTAAAAAGAGTTAGCCAGAAGGTGTGATTTGTTTAGTTATCCAGAGAAGCCTTTTCTCTCCTCATCCTGTATAAGCGGGCTTGTAGATATTGTAATCACTTGTTACAGGGGCAACATTCACACTGTAATGCTCCACATGAAAAAAACTGTACAAAATGTATTAACTTTCTGCCATACAGTTCAACTCCACTGACCATTAAAACAAAGACCAAAACACAATCTGTCTTGTTAAAAGGCAATGACTTTAAAAGACATACCATCCTTGAGTTTGGTACAATAGTGTATCCTTCATAAAAGGAAACAAAAAACCCCCTAAGTTCCAGAAACAGTATTACATATTCTTTATCTTTCTACTGATTCAACTTAGAAAACAAACTAAGAACAGAGCAAAAAGGTCAATAAGCAAACCATCCAGCATTCATTCACAGCCAACAGAAATCAAAGTACCATATGTACATCGTTCTCTCATATTACGTCCAGAAGATAGGAGCATGCAACATCGTTACTGTAGACAGTGAAAAAAGGTGTACATTTTGAAGTGTGAAATACTTCTCCAGTTTCACTGGTTTTATTGAAATCTTCCAAGTTAGGTATGAATCGGCCTACGACAGTTGTCAGTCAGCAAGTACACTCGCAAATAGGTATTCTGAATTTTACAATCTATTTGTAAAACCCAAAGTAACTGCATTAACAAAAGTCAACAAAGGGAAAGAAAGAAGTTGTTGTTGTCCATCTGAGACATACCATCATTTTATACCTAAGGAGATCCAACCCTGCTGGGATTACTCTCATATAAAATTTCCATATTTAACACCTAATTTAGAACAGGTAAACAAGGGTGTAGAAAGCCCTCTAAGAGTTCATGAAATAAATATAGTACAATAGGTATACAAAACTCTTACTGCACCTTATTTTTAGGTAGGCTACATAATTTGTATTTTTACTGTGAGAACATAAAAACAAAACTGACCTTTACAAAATTATGATTTCATATAGAGTAAAAACTTGCCCCAGCTTCTACTTACTAGTGTTTTAAAATAAACAGTAAATTGATACACAGAGACAAAATATTCCCCTTGTAATGCAAACAGTAGACAGCTTTTTAGTGTGCCCTCATAATTTGGGAGAGAAAAGCCAAATTAATCTGTCTCATGAAACATTTTAAAACCAGAGTTAACTGGCAAAAAAGCCTAAAAGGAAATAAGAAAAAACCCTCTTAGACTGAAAGTTACAGAATTTCAAGGTGAAGTGAGCTTTCCAGAAAACCTCGTCCAAGCCCAACAAAATGAGAATGTTCCTCACACTAATCTCATAACATTCCACATTTCCACAGCTGACCCCCTGGTTCGGAGACCCACAACTGAGATAGTAATGAAAGCATAGGTCAAAGCCGAGGTACTACAAACGGTCAAAACAAAGCTCAGAAATTATTAAAAAAAAAAAAAAATTACCTGCTCTAGCTTTCTTGAGCAGAAACATATGAACCTATAGCAGAGCAAATAGCATAGTTTTAGCAAGAATATAAAAATAGCTTGCAAGCTAAGTTACCTTTCAGACTAAACTCCATATATTTGATATCATATGAACAAGGTTTAATTTTTTTCAACTTCTTTTATGCTTTTAAAAGGTATTTTCTAAGAAATTTCTTTATTTTGTACAGTTAAGCTAACACCTGCCAGGTTTGCATGCTTTTTAAAGATGCACTTTGTCACCTAGAATATAAAACCACAGTAAAACAGTGCAGAATTTTGTAAAAATACTTTAAATAAATTTACACTTCACTATAAGATTATTCAAGTTAAGAAATAATCACCAGATTCAACAGTGTAACTCCTTTACTTCTGTTATCATCATTGCACATCAAAACCAAAGTCACTATATCTGCCAAGACAAAAGGAGCGGAGCCTCAACCTCTGCCGGCCCAACAAGCGAGCAAACACTGCTCCACAAGCAGCATCATTTTGGTCTTCTGCAGACACCTAAAGCCTGAACTCACGAGAAATTTCTCACTACAAGGAAAATCAGAAGGCAAAACGTCAAAGGACTCTTACAAGCAGAGATCCTCAGCAAGGATCAATACAGGTAGCCCCTCGGTGATTTCACAAACGTAGCTCAGTATTTATGACCAGCTTTTTCTTAGCAATGCAGGCCACGAAAGTCATAGATCATTAGGTATGTAATCTTCAATCAAAAAATAATGGGCAACACGCTGCATTTCAAACTACCAGATTTTTACTTCCAGAAACCTAATAGCTTTCTATAGATGTATTGATTTCTAATACTGACAAAAAAAAAAAAAATTGACTGCTAGCACATTTTTCCCCTTTTCTGCAGCCTCAGAAAGTTTGTTTTAAGTCACAGTACTGCAAGGCACATACAGAATCTCTTCCTTTCCAATACACAGCAGATATATTCCCTGAAATAATTTTAAAATCCTCAAAACAATTAGAAATGCTACAAAGTTAACAATTTCTATTTAAAAACGTTGTTCTTACAGAACATGCACTTTTTTTGGAAAACAACTTAGCAAATATTTATAAATTATTTTTTCTTCTTTACACTTAATACTGGAAATATATTGAATAATTTTTAATCTGGAAAGTACTGTATCATGTCACATTTAAGTTATTGCCTTCATTATAAATTGCATCATCTCTGGAAATCCATAAGGTACTGGATTTGAAAATGGGGTGGAGGTGAGAGACTATGTATGCAGTTTAGCCCATCTGAAAGGATTTCCATGTAAAGTATTTCCATCAGAGTAAAAAATGAACTTTCTTCATTCAATGGATGAGGACAATAGAAACTGACGTAAGTGCGTTCATTCAGTTTAATGCAGTGTCGCTAGCAACTACTTAAAAAATCTTCATTTTCTGTCTTTTGGGCAAGCATATCTTACTATAAAAGCAACTGAATTTTTAAGAGGTAGTTTTTTTCCATTTTGCGCTTATTTATTTCAAATAAAACATAACCAAAAAAACCCAACATTTGCTTTTGAACAAGGATCAAGTCTCAAAACTTGGTACAATATCGGACAAAGTTCAATATTTTAGTTGTCCTCAGCAGTACTGGGCTGCTTTGGAACCAGTGTATTCCAGGTTATCTTCATAGTCAAAAGACTAATCTACCAACAGTACTGAACCCACCCCCTCCTCCTCCACCTGTCGGTCCACAACTTCCCGGGGGATCATTGTCATCAAACCCATTGGGTCGGAAAGAGCACGAGGCTGAGGCAGCTTGAAGTGCTTGTGTTCGAGCACTAAGCTCTTGCTCCTGAAATGAAAGAATAAAGACAATTTAAAAAAAAAAAAAAAAAGAAAAAAACCACAACAAAAAACCAACCACCCCCCTCAGCCTCAAGTACATGAAGCAGCTTATTTCCAGCAAATTTTGAAACAGCTTTTAAAGCAACATCACTAACTTCTGGACTCCTAAGTCTGAACAGCTTTGCTGAACTTCAAGTTGAACATACACAGCCAATCCCAGACGTACAATTTCATTGGACAACAGTAAGTAGATGTGAATCACAATCAAATCCATTTAAGTTTAAGCTAAAATCATCATTTACAGCACCATGGGATGTTTCTAAAGAATTAGACTGCTGATCAAAAACTAACAACACAGTTATACGTTCCACATGAATTTTCATCCTAGCAATTTTAAGATGCCCTTGTTCTTGGTTGCCAAATAGAATGGTAAGACCATTAAATCAATGTTAATATTTAAACGACACTTTTTTTATTCCACTCAATCAACTGCATAGACTAACAACATACTCAGACAAAAGGCAGAAAGATGGACAAGCTATTTAGTTTCTATTCAGTGCAGCTTTTTAACTTTCAAGTGTTACTGCTATGCTAACTCTATTTTAACATTAGGAAGTCTCAGGAACTCTCAAGCACTCCATAAAAATCACAGTCAGCTGCTGGAAAAGTACCTGCACAAGTAACAGGACAAGAAAGCATAGCCTCGGGCCAGCTGCTTTTTCAGCTGAATGCCCCTGTGGCTTCTTAAACATCTAAGGAGGAGATGAGCACAGGCTTTTCCCTCATCAGAGATATCATACACTATTGTGTCTCTGGCCAACTCCTTTCACAAACCTTAGAGTAATTCCTCGTAATTAGTATCCCTTTCTCAAACTGGCCAAAAGCTTCAAAAACCGAGGGAGGAAAGGGCAGGTGTTGGGCTCTGGAAGACTGACAAGAAAGAGACAGCAGACCTGTACAAACTTTATTTCTTCAGGAAACAAAATGAAAGTATTCAGGTGCTAAGGCTCATACTGATAGCTTCCTTCACGTGACACTTCGTCACTACATACCTCCCTAAAGGCAAGGGGAGGAAATCTTAATGGGGTTTTAGTAATTACCTGGGTCATCTTAAATTGTTCCTTTTCTTCTCCACCTCCTGGTGAAAGCAAGGAACAGAGCCAAGAACCTGGAAGACTATTATACTACCATGAAAGCACTAAACTCAGTCTTGTCTATGAGGTGCTAAAAATAGTACTTACTCACTTAAATTACTCTGCCCTCTTAGAAAAACACAGCCTAAGTTTGAAGCTATTTTACACTATTAAGGACTAAAACGTGTACTCACTTCCAAAATGATGTAAGAGATATTTGGAGGACATTGTCTATGCAGATGTGCTGGCCATATTCCTGACAAACAGTATTACTCCATCTCCAGCAATATGTGGATTCTTATGTACCTGCTAACTCTGAAACACTTGAAAAACTAAGCAAATTTACTTGTAATAAGAAGGGGATATTAAGAACTCACGTCTAGTACTAGAAGTTAACAGAAAATTTTGATTAAGATAACAGGCCTTGTATAAATAGTATAAACTACACTGCAAAACTGTTTAACTTGGAACAGAATTTCTTCTCAAAACCAAACAGCGGCGGACTCGTTACACTGTACCTGGGCTGGTTTTTCTTTTTTTGGTAAAATATTTCAGAAAAAATGTTTGTTTTAATGCAGCACAGTACCAAACCAAAAATGGAGTCATCTTTACTGCCTCCTCCACTTTCATCCCTCCAGAGAACTGTTTTCTGGCAACTTTATACCTCTTAAATCCCAGTAGTTGAGTTTGTTTAACTACTACAAAAGAATATAAGCATCAACAATAGGTTTGCTGATTATGCTACATTAAATAAAAATCTTAAAATTATAGACAAAAAGAACACTATTCTTACAGCTAAGAAATTTTTTTGCCAGTAATAGCTAGAAACACAATTTATTTTAAATTGCCTTACTGCAGTTACTGGATACCACAAGGTTTTGGCATAGCTCTGCAGCTGAATTACTTTATGTCTGTCTTCTGTTACATACCTTTCACAATACCGTTAGCAAAAGTACAATTGTTCTACTGTCACTAGGCACCCTTACAGGGAGGAGGCAAGCGGAGAGGGGAAGCACTACTACGAACAGCAACAGCATAGTACCTTGCACATGACTTATGCGCAAAGGACACTCTCAGCTTTGGAGACACGCATCGCTGTCAGTAGAGTGTAAATGAGCTGTAAGCAGAGCTTTTGCCAACCATCTAGAAATACTATTCAGAAGCAGCCATAATACACAAAGAATGGGATAAACCTCAGTCCTGATCTTATCCTCCATCCATTACAGAAAATGTTCCGTACATGGTAGCAATGAAGCTATCTCTATACATGCACACACACAAGAAGTATGGAGCAGTGATCAAATCATCGATTATTAAAGTTTCTTGTCAGAGTACTAGTATTAAAACCCACACATCTCTTGGGTCTTCAATGCCAAAACTAAAATTATTTAGCAGTTTAACATCTTTCATGCTTTATTCCTGCTCATTAAGTTTGTGCGAAATGAGCCAATTTTTTATTCTGAAGGCATATATTGACATAATACTAACCTACCTTAAACTGCTCTAGTATAGTGTACAGCACTAGCATTATTGCAAGAAATATCCTTGTTTCTAAAAAAAAGTGTTGAATGTTTTCAGACTGATTATCTTTATCCCAACAAATCCTAAATCAGGTACGTAAAACTTACAGTCAATACAGTTCTCTGAACTGGGAAAAATGCAGAGCTTCCCCCTCTGCTTTTCACTTGATCCCAGAACAGGATTTTTAATTTGGTTTAACTGGAGCAAAAGCTCTCCATATTGCAGGTTTTGTTATTTAAAGTGAAAACATTTCAGTTTACCATATGGTAAAGTGGAATGCAATAGTAAAACAGAAGGACTATGCTAGAGATGTTTTGGAAAGTGTCTCTGAAAAGTAAAGGCTTTCTCAAGGCAGAAAAGTATTTTCTTAACGTAGCAGGAAAATACTTGTTTAGAACTCTGAACAGCAATGAAATGCGACTTCTCAAAAATACAATAATCTAATTCAGTGAATCACAACATTAGTATTAATTTGAGAAATACAATAACTGAGAATTTCTAATCAATCTCATTTAAATTGAAAAAAGGACAGGATCTCAACAGTTCTGAGATTAGTAGAGCACTACAAAGAAAGCCAATACTGAAGAATCCAAAATTGAAAGGTAGGTAAAGGATCATAAATTTGAAAAAACCTGAAACAACTAAAACCCAAACCAAAACTATACACTTGGAAAATACTTTTTTTTTTTCATTTTGAGGAGACTATATTTCTTTTTTTTTTAATTATTAAAAAACCTACTAACTTGGCTTATCACTTGTAAGCTATAAGAGAAAATGACTGCACGCTTTACATAACTTTAGCTACATGTTCTGTAGAGAAAGTTTGTCTGGAAGATTATAAAAAAGCCATTTTTGTGTATGTGCACCAAGTGACTTTAACATTGATTTTTCACTGGTTCTAGGTGTACAGCAGCATTCAAAAACCTTAAAGTAACTAACTACTTCGTGTATTCCAGAAACTGCATCAAAACAGTCTTGAAAACATTAATTCAGAGAAACATATTTAAGAATAACTTCATCATTTAACAAATTATTTTCTCAATATCCTGATAACGTTGCTTGTTCCACACGGCTAAAGCACCTCTTCAGACTTGAAAAAAGCCTCTGTTATGCATACTTAGGTAATCACCTCTCCCATTGATAACACTGAAATATGTGACTGCAAGCACTGGATTCCACAGGAAAACACACAAATAAGAATAGTTACTAGGATTTATATTCTATATGGATGACACTGTTCCTCCTCTGAATGTTTGGCTTTATATAAAAACAGGTTACAGTATCACTGTAGCTGTACTACTTTTCTTCAGGCTGTGTTCTTAAAATGCATTTTTTTTTCCATTACTCAATTACTTAGATGCTGCTGTAATTATATACCTAAAATAAAAAATAATCTGGCTTCAAGTTTGAAATTTCACAATTAAAGCATCATTGGAAGTCACAGCAATTCTGACTGAAAACATGACGCTATCTCAGAGGCAAGTCCACGCTTGGGACAGCGGGCAACCTCCCTCCCTGCCCACCTCGCCTTCCCAGGTGCCTCTGTACAACAGGTATGAGACTTCCTAGCCTGGTACAGCCCTCAGACTATCCTGAGATAACAGGAGCCAAGAGGGATACAGCAGTGAAATACCTCAAAGGAACTAAGGGCTGTTCCTCTAAAGAGGTGCCATGGCTGACAGCCCAGATGAAGTGCCTCTACACCAATGCACGAAGCATGAGCAACAAACAGGAGGAGCTGGAAGTCACCATGCTGCTAGAAAGCTACAATCCAGCTCCAATTAGTGAAACTTGGTGGGACGAATCCCATGACTGGCATGTGGCTCTCAGTGGCTACAAGCTGTTCAGAAGGGACAGGCAAGGAAGGAAGGGTGGAGGGGTTGCCCTCTACATCAAGAAATGGATAGAGTCTGAAGAGCTGTCTCTGAAGAATAGCCACAAGCAGGTTGAAAGCTTATGGGTAAGAATTAGAGATCGAAGTAGCAAAGGGAACCTTGTGGCTGGGGTCTACTACAGGCTGTGATCAAGGGGAGCCTATGGACAAAGCCTTCTTACTCCAGATACAGGAGGCATCGCGCTCACAGGCTCTCGTCCTGCTGAGGGACTTCAACCACCCTAACGTCTGCTGGAAAAGTAGCACAGCGAGCTGCAGGCAATCCAGGAGACTCCTGGAATGCATTGAGGATAACTTAAGCCAGGTAACATATAGAATACAATACTGAACATCATGGTCACCAATGCAAATGAGCTAATCAGTGATGTCAAGACTGGAGGCAGCCGGGCTTGCAGTGATCATGCACTGAAGGAGTTTGCAGTCCTGAGGGATATGGGACAGGCAAAGAATAAAGTTAGGACCCTGAATTTTAGGAAAGCAAACTCCAGGCCTTCAAGGAGTTAGTCAACAAGACCCCCTGGGAAACTGCCCTTGGGGACAAGGGAGCAGAACAGAGCCAGTAGATCTTTAAGGATGCTTTTCACAAAGCACAAGAGCTCTCGACCCCCAAGTGTAAGAAATCAGGAAAGACGGCAACAGACAAGCATGCATGAGTGAGATCTGGGAGGTGATTCAAGACAGCCAGCATGGCTTCACCAAGTGCAAGTCCTGCCTGGCCAACCTAGTGGCCTTCTATGATGGAATGATTATACCAGCAGACAAGTGGACAGTGGAAAAGCTATGGATATCATCTATCTGGACTTCTCTAAGGCCTCTAACAGTACCCCACAACATCCTTCTCTCTAAATTGGAAAGATATGGATACGATGGGTGGACTGTTCAGTAGATGAGGAATTGGTTGGATGGTTGCATCCAAAGGGTAGCGGTCAACAGCTCAATGTCCAGATGGAGATCAGTGACAAGTGGTGTCCTACAGGGGTCCCTACTGAGACCAGTACTGTTTAATATCTTCATCAGTGACGTAGACAGTGGGATCAAGTGCACCCTCAGCAGTTTGCAGACGACACCAAGCTGAGTGTTGCAGTTGACACACCTGAGGGACAGGATGCCATCCAGAGGGACCTGGACAAGCCTGAGAAGTGGGCCCATGTGAACCTCATGAGGTTCAACAAGGCCAACTGGAAGGTCCTGCACCTGGGTCAGGGCAATCCCCAGTACCAATACAGGCTGGGGGATAAAGGGATTGAGAGCAGCCCTACTGAGGAGGACTTGGGAGTACTGGTGGATGAAAAGCTGGATATAAGCCAGCAATGTGAGCTCGCAGCGCAGAAAGCCAACCACATCCTGGGCTGCATCAAAAGAACTGTGACCAGCAGGTCGAGGGAGGTGATTCTGCCCCTCTACTCTGCTCTAATGAGACCCCATCTGGAGTACTGTGCCCACCTCCAGAGTCCTCAGCACAGGAAAGACATGAACCTATTGGAGTGGGGCCAGAGGAGGGCCATAAAAAATATCAGAGGGCTGGAGCACCTCTCCTATGAGAACAGGCTGAGAGAGTTGGGGTTGTTCAGCCTGGAGAAGAGAAGGCTCCAGGGAGACCTTATTGCAGCCTTTCAGTACCTAAAGGAGGCTTATAAGAAAGATGGGGACAAACTTTTCAGTAGGGCCTGTTGCAACAGGACATGGGGTAATGGCTTTAAACTAAAAGAGGGTAGCTTTAGATTGGGCATAAGGAAGAAATTATTTACAATGAGAGTGGTGAAACACTGGAACAGGTTACCCAGAGAGGGGTGGCAGATGCCCCATCCCTGGAAACATTCAAGGCCAGGCTGGATGGGCCTCTGAGGAACCTGATCTAGTTGAAGAAGTCCCTGCTCATTGCAGGACCTCTGAAGGTCCCTTCCAACCCAAATTATTCTACAATTCTATGATCGGAGATTGCTGCTAGAGAAGCCGTGTTTTGTGCTACCCTGTACGGTCAAGAGGAGAGGTGGTATATAAACAGAGATGGTTAGGACACAAATGCTTCAACCACACAGTCTTAAAATAGCAGGAGAGTTGCAATTTAAACTCTCAGGAATCTTGTTTATGTTTGTAAAGTACCTGCAGCTATAACAGATTTCCTACAGTGAGATTTAGCTGTTCTTTTCTAATTTGAATTTACCTAGATTTTCTAATTGGACTAGGCCTAGAACTCTTACAGGAACAGCTTAACCCATCAAAGAACACACAGGAAAACATGCTTTTACTGTTACTGTCCAAACATAGCAGTAATGCTCAAAGCAAAGCGTACGAAATGTGGAGAACAGCAGTTTTTTGCAACAGCAATCAAAGAGATGACTACAGCTAGGTGAAGTTCTCGGAGTGCAGGGAACGTGCGGCTGGCAGTGCTGGTCCCACAGAGCGAGGCAGAACAGGCAGTGAAGGGAAAGCGGAATCTAGTCACTAGCACCTGGTCTTCATTTTAGTGGTTCTAGCATTTGAGTAAGCACAGTTGTATAAATACAACTCCACTCCAAATGAAAACATGCTAGTAAGAACACAACTAAGAAGTTGTAAAGTATTTTTCAACTGCTCTCATAATTTATTAAAGACAATGAAAGTGAGAACTGTTCAAAAGACTGTCCTGTTACAGGTGGTTAAGTGACCTATGCGAGCATCTTGACCAAAACCTTAAAGTGAAATGAATTTAAGCCATCTTCCTTGACACCTCCCCTCTCATGGTGACAACCTTACTATGAAACCTGTCCAGCAACATCAAGATGGAAACAAGATCACTTTATGAGGTCAACACACCAGAATGCTTCAAACCTAACTTTTTCTTTCTTTTAGCCTGCTTCTTGGTTTTAAGGACACCGCTCTTATGTCTTACCTGCAAGTATAGTTTGTTATCTTTCATAATTGCATCCATGAGGTCTTTCTGTAGGGGAGGGTCTCCATTTGCTGAATTGAAGCCACAGGTGCTATTTTGCTTTTTGTAAAACAGAACATAAGCAGTGTCCTTTGGAAATCTACTGGTAATTTTCTGGACTGACTGAAATGAGGTAAATGTCACTCTGCTGTCATTGAACAGAAACCATTCTCTTGACTTATCAGTGTCACTGTCTACAACAGTAGAAGGACTCTCCCCTGTCAACAACTTAGCCTGAGGAGAAGCTAAAGAATCACCTGTAGACTGCTGGCAGGGTCCTGAAGGCCCTGACCCAGTAGCATTTCTAGCATATGAATAGTAATGTCCACTTTCAGAGGATACACCAGAATGCATCACCACAGAGCTTAACAAATAGGGCTCCAATCGTGGGTGAGTCACTTCATCAGCACCTGAGGGCTTTAGTTTTTTAGCAATATTTTCTCCAATATCAGAAACCTCAACACCAACAGACCAACCTCTTGAAACTACACCTGGAGAGGATGTTGCTCTTTTGACTGGTAGTTTCAAATCAAGTGGCAGAGACACATTATCTAAGATTTTGCGCCTTACGTGACACTTTGGATCATATGAAAATCTCAAAAGAGTGAGAATGAGGTATTCAGGTTCCTCAATGATTTGCATAGTTTTCTCAGCATTCTGTAGAGAGGCACACTTTTCACAGTAATACTTGTTGTCACCACTGAGGATCTCAGGCGCCAGAAAATAATTCAGTAAATCTGTAACTGACAGAGGGTTTTCACCCACTACCCTCTGAGACATTTTCTTATCTTGAACTTCATTGCATTCAGAATTTGTAGTCTTCTCAGACTGTGGCTCAGCAGAAAAATCCTTTGTGGTTGCTTTCTTTGTTATTGGGTCACATCCACCATTTGCTTCCAACTTGAGAGGTTTTTTTCCAGCAGGACTTGTCGGTGAAGTCTTAGTTTGCACCACGTTGTCGCCTTTCCCTTCAGTACATTCCATACATTTTGGACCAACATTCTCCAAGGAAGTTGGAGGACAGAAAGCCAGAGAGAGATCTGTGAAAGCTTCCTCCTTTTGAGACACACTTTTGCAGTTCAGACAGTGTATGGTAGTCTTCAATTTTCCTCCAAACATCTTCTCGATCAGAGTTCTTTCTTCACTTCCCTTACCAGATGCTTCAGCAAATACTTTTGCCTTATCAACAGCTTCTTGTTTCTGGGACTTTGCATTGGTTTTACTTTCAGAAGTCTTTGCTGAAGACAAAGTTTTTGAGGTTTTCTCTTCTTCATGCAGCCTGAAGACAAAGAAAAATAGATCCAAACAGCTGTGCTATTTTCTAAACAAATACTGCTGCACCATTTCAGACTTTTTTCCAGTTATGCTAAAAAATATAGATAGTTAAGTGGCTAGAAGTGTCTTACATTAAAAAAAGCTATTTGTTATTTTTTATATAAGCGAGTTGAAACATACAGGTCTGTACCACCCAAGACAGAGTAAGAGAGAAGCACAAATGCATTTAATGTGGGTTTCATTGTATACAGCAGAACACAATGGATATACTGAGAGAACTGGCAAGTATTAAAAAACCTAACAAACAATGTTTTTATTATTTACCATTATATTATCTTAATAAATCAGTTCTCCAGTTAACTGGTTCTGTATGTCAGATTTTCTAAGAGAACAAGTAGCTGTTTATCTAGTGCCAGACTACTTCCAAAGAAAAAGTCAGGATTTTGTAGCTAAGAAAGTTAAGAAACTACAAGAAAAACCAAACCAAAAAAGAAACACAAGTTGGGAAAAAAACCAAAACAAAACACCACTATTTCACTATTGAGATAAACTTCTCCAGAAGTGGAATGTGTCATAAAGGAATACTGCTTAAGCCACATCTCAGCAATCCAAAATTAAAGAGAACTACTAATAGATTTAGGTACTTTTGTATTATCCATGCCACAGTCAATTTGCTTGTTTATCAACTGGTTATAAATGCATGTACATCTCTTTGTGACTTATCTAACCTGTAAGAACTACAGCTGTCTCCACCAACATGAAATACCCAGATGCACAACTAAACTGCTTTCAGCAACCACATTATTTTACAACAGGATCATGACTCTAACATAACACTCAAATTTAGATTTGTAAAAACATTACTACCACTATAACCTGCTTTAAGTGATGTGGATACAAGATGGTATCCAGACTTCACCACAGATTAAACCCATGAAGCAAAGTGTTCCATATACCATACAGAAAGCCAGAGACAGCCAGGAATGAGGCCCAAGATTCCCGGTGCCCACTCATGCAGTGGAACCATTACATGACTGCTCCTAAGAGTTCAACATTATGTGATAAGACTATAGATCTATTCCCATTAATGGCACAATAACTGTACCTGTCTAGCAGGAATTTGAGATATTCTGAGCAATCCTGCTGGGATCGAGGGCTGAACCATGGTGGTCTGGAAGCCTCAAAGAAAATTCTAGGAGCATATGCCTCTCTCTGTTCACATAAGAGAGGGACAGACAAGGTTACATAAGAACTACTTAAAAAATTGGTTATATTATTTTGATATTGACCACTGAACTTTGGACTACATTATTCTAGAGAAACTGTATTAAACACGTGGTACACAAACATTTAAGCCACTTAATCATAGAAAGGGAGCACCATTAATCTTGTAGTTATCACCTCTAGTACAAAGATAAAAATAATGGCTCCTGAAGGCAAATATTAAGTGTGTAGTGAGTGTAAATCAGATATTATTTGTAATAACAGTTACTGTTCTTGCTGGCAAGCTTAAAAAAAATGTTTTCTTTTTTCAGAAGAACACAGTATTTCTAAATACCAGTTTACTTTTAAGGTGATCCAGTCTCATCCCCTTCACAAGTTTATCATTATTACTCAAAGAGAACAAAAGTGTCTTATGCCCTTCTAGCACTAGCAAAATATTCTGAGCATTTAGTTCACTTTAGAATTTGAACTACAATAAAATTTAGTGTAAAAATCACTGCAGAAAGTCACAGTTTATCCTAGACAGTTACATAAAGTCAGTTTCTATATCAAGTCAGGTCTTATTTGGATTTTTCCATTTTGCTTTCTCAAAGAAAACCTGTTACTGCTTTTTATAAAAAGCAGTACAACGCCAAGATGTTCCACTTATGAAATACAGATTTCTCTAAGTCCATCCACACCATCTGAATATTTGGCAACAGACTCATTCCCTGACAAATCAATCATATTTATATTTTCCATATACTCAAGAGGACTCCCATGGCATGATGTTTGTTCCTCAATTTTGGTATATAGATCTAGCCTTAAAAACCAGCAGATTAAATAAACTGACATACCTGGGTATGGGCCAAAAACGCAAAAAGATGCTGTAATTTTGCCACTAGTAAGTTACATCCATTTAGTTGCAGAGATAAAACATGTCTTCTGAAACTGAAAGAAGAGATAGACATTAGTTTCCTAGCTAGATTTCTAACAACAATGCAGTTATTCCAGCTCAGATAATTACTTCAATTTGAAAGAAAGCAAAACATGTTCAATACCTGAACTCTGCTCTAACGCAGCTGCAAAACTACTCTACAGTAGGAACTAATACTACAAAACTCCTATTTCTTTAAATATTTAAATGTGTAAGAATGGACTATAGACAGACAATTTTTTTTTTCAATAGCTTCCAAATTATAACAACAGCATCACCATAAACCTTTACAATACCAAAGGGAGCAAGGAGAGTGAGGAAAAAAGGACTTGTCTTTTGACACTGGACAGAAGGATCAGGATTTTTAATGGCTAAAATTATAGTTTCACAGAGCTGGAGTTCAAGAAAGCAATCAGTAACTGAGTGCAAAGAAATCCACTCAGCTCTAACAAGCTGAGAGCGCCCAGGACACTTGAATATTCTGTGAAAAGCAAGAAAGCAACAACTGCAATAGTTAATTTGCAATGAAAAGAGCTGTTAAAAAGGACTTACTCCGTAGCCATAAAAAGTGCCTGAAGAACACTGTTCATGTAGCAAGTATTTCCTAGGTTAATTAGACCTGTCTTCCCAGTTTCAGATTTTCCAGAAGGTCTAGATGAACAAGATGGCAAAGAGCTGGACTGAGAAGTCCACGCGCTCTGATTGAGAGCCATCTTAATCTTTTCTTCAGTGGGCCTGGGCATGTCCTACAAGAGAAACATTTAAACACACTTAATAGGGTTTTGTATTTGTTTTTATACTAGGTCCTGCCATTCAGGACCTTCTATCTTCGCTTGCTCCCATACTGTCCTTCAAGGTCTTGCTATCCCTGATAGCCTAGAAAATACAACCCCCCCCAAGCCCTCTTCTTCAAAGCTCTCTTTACTCAACTTTCAGATTGCAGGAATAAGGTGCTGGTAGCCACCCTTGATCCGCATATTCACAGAATCCTTTCTGCCACCAAAAATTACTTCTCAAACTTCAAGCTTTAATAGACCCCTAAAGCATCCTGTATTCTGCTAGAAATACATTCCTG